TATTTATTTATTTATTTATTTATTTATTTATTTATTTATTTATTTATTTATTTATTTCCAATTTATCTTTATCAGGAATATCTCAAAGGTACTTTTTCAAAAGTCAGCTGGACTTTTTTTTTAAAACAAAGTCCAGTTGCCTTTTGAAAAAGTATCTTTGAGACAACCAATGACCTGCATTACAATAATCTCCACGGACATCTTTATCAGGAACATTTATGATTTCGAGCCATCCTTAGTTTCATCTTATCTGTTGTTACCTGTCTCTTCTTTAGTGTGTTCTGATCCTTCCTGTCTGTTTTGCAGAATAGTTTTCACTAGCGCTGCTTTAACAATATAACTATTAAATAGCAGCAGATCTTATTCATGTGTTACTTACTTTGGCAGCTAGAAAACTGCCAAAACTGCAAAAAATGGAATTCTGTTTTAAATTAAAATTTGCTTTTGGTTAACATACATTAAATTTGATAAGTGTGCTATAGCAGGGCTCCCAAGTCTTAAATAATTGGCAACTGACAGAAAGTCAACATGTAAAATTTCCCACATTACTGAGGCTCTATACAAAGAAAAGCTATTAGTGTGCACAGTGCTGTCTTACAAAACTTTTAAGCTAGTTCCTTTGTTTCAGGCTTGAGAACAAGTATTGCTGAACAAGGTTTTCATTACATATCTCAAGGAAAGTGTTTTAAAACTTCAGGGAATTCTGCCAAGGCCCTGCAGCTGCTTTTCTGTGAGGTGGTAGTTTTTTTGCACATCACCACCCTTATACATCCATATTAGCATCTATATGTGTGCTCAATTTCCTGTATTTCTATCCATTGTTTGGCATAGTTCTGCTTTCTACCTTGTCCAGTTTACATTTAGTAAGTCCTGCCCAACGGACCGCCAGTCTTTATATAGGAGGGCTCACACTATCAAAGTGGAATTGAGAAGTACAATTACACTTAAGTGTTTCCACTCTTGTCCACAATGTATTGGAAGTAGGCCAGAAGAAAGAAATAGTTCTGTATTTTATTTGTTTACCAGTCCACATCTCATTTGATGAAAGAAAAGTTACTTTATAAGTTTTTTTTTTAAAGGGAAGCAAATTTTGGGGTGGGTGGGGTGCGAAGTACTCGCAGGTGTAGCATTGGAGTCTATTGCAACAGAGAAAAAGTACCCGGCGCGAGACCGCACGGATGCAAATGCATTTTTAAAAGAAACGCCCTTATTGGGAAAAAATGTAACGTATAGCATAAGCTAATAAATAGGACGACTGCTCTTCTCATAGCAACTACGGAATAAAGAGGGATGGGCTGCAGGACCACCACCACCTCCTGCCGGGCGTGTTCATTGGAGGAAGAGCAGAGGAGGAGGAGGAGGAGGAAAAGTCATGTTTCGAACATTGGCGTCTTCCCAGCTGGCGATCTTTTAGGTATCCAACTCTTCGAACGCCCGCGGGAAAAGCGAAGGTTCTAAGAGTTGCAGCGTTCCAAGCTTGGAACGTTGCTCTTCGCTGGATCAGGGCTTCGAGAGGACCTCCGCGGACCATTTTTCTTCCCCTTCCCTTTTTCAATCCCCCGCCCACAGCTCGCAAGTTTATCCAGGGCAAGTTTCCACCCCCCCCATCTCAACTTGAACGCTCGCCGCCGCCGCACCTCTCTCACTCTCTCGCTGTTCCCCCATTTCGTGCGCGTGTCGATTTGTTTCTTGGGAGGTGTGTTGGGCGTCCCCTGGTTTATCTGTGTCCCTGCTGGGGCATGTGGAAATGGCCGGTGACAACAGTCCTGGAGTCTTCTTGTGTTGGCGACGCTTCGAGCTCTTACTGCTAGCGACAGCAGCCACCGGACTATGCAGCGGGGTCTCTGGAGTCAAGAATCCCAGCTGCCACGAAGTCAGGACGGCGTTTCAGATGCGGCAGATCGGTCCCATCAAGCTGGTTCCTGATGTTCCCACAACTGGTCAGTACAATTTCCCCTTCCCACCCTTACACCAGACTCGTCAAAACACCCTCTTCCCCGGTTTAAAAACACACTTAACTCCTGTACTCTGCCCCACTTGCGAAGATCTGAAAAGAGAAGGCAAAGCAGAACATCAATCCGGCCAGCCCTTGGATAGGTCTCGGAGACATTAAGTTAGGGCTCCTGGGGGACAGGAGGGGGAAACGACGAGAGTTTAAACGGTGTAGGCAGCGGCAGCCCTGAGTGGAAAGTCTCCCTTTATCATAATCTTTTGTGCAACTTACTTTGCTTGCGTGGGGTACAGTAGTTTCAAGGCTAATATACAAGGCTGGGTATGGGTGTCGCGATAACACCCTGGAAAACCTGGCATTGTTTGGGTTCCCGGGGCTAAGGGACCTTGAGTGTACTGGCTCGACGGGTGAGCGCAGGTGTGCAACACAACATAATCAGTTACTCGCGCAAGGACAAACCGTCTGGTCAGTCGCCTTTGGGGAGGCGTAATCCAAAGCGGGAATCGGACTCAGCCGAACCATTCTCCCTTCTTTGCAAACTGGAATAGAGACCTCATTAACAGGGCAAGAACGTCCGTAGGAAAGATCGAAAGCGGAGTGTGACTGTTGACCTGATTGGTCTCCGTTGCAATCAAATGCGGGCGAAGGAGCGAGCAATTAATAAAGTACAGACTGGAGTTTCGAAGGAAACGGAATGGCTTATGAAGTTACAGCGCATGGATTGGGGTTTTCTTCATTCCCTCCCCGTTAAAAAAACATGAAGCTAGGTGGGCAAAGGTGGGGTTTGAGAGATTTGAGAATGTTAGGGTTGTGGATGGAATGACAGGCTGGTACAGCTGTCAGTGGCATCTGTACTGATTTCTAAATCAAACGGAAGGCAGGAATAAGTAACTTTTTGCCAGTTAAATCCCAAGCTTCTTGTGAGTTTATGCAGTCAAATATGTTTGCGTACACATGCATATTTGCTAACAATCTCGGCGTTGGATGAGACAGTCATATTGATTGATTGATTGGTTGATAATCAGATTGCTAAGGCTTCCCAACTCAACACAGAGTCTGGGAAGTGTATGGTTATAAACCAATGCAAGACATATAAAAGAGACAATAAATATAAAAATAGAGCTTTACAGAGGGAATAACATAGCCCAGGCAATGTTACACACCAAAAAGGCACACCAGCAGCAATCTATCTGAAAACTTGGGGTAAAAACTTGTTTTTTTAAGACTCTCTATGGGGTTGAAGGGTTGAATTGGTCAGAATGCCACAGGTATGTTCCTTCAGAGGGCAAGTGCCACAACATGTTGTGGGTGGAGTCCTATGTAAAGGAAGGGTGGGATATTATTTGTGTTTGAAAGGATGGATAGCTTTGTCAGTGTTTCATACCCTATTCAACTATTTTTCCCCACTTGAGTTCACCAAATGGTGGGACAGGAAATGGCTGCATTATGATGGCAATTTTGGATGAGGTACCTTGGCTTGCAAAACAGTGGTTTGAGGCAGCTGAGCATTTAATATTAATTTTAAACATCATATAATTATTTTTGTGTAGTAGAAATCCATGTATTACACAATATTTTTACAGTCCCAAAGTTAATGTCTCTTAATATTTGAGAAAAACCTTTATTTATATTTCAGTGTCCCACTTCTAGCTAACTTATGAATCAGACAATTAAATCATTAACAAAATCCATTTGCTTTAAGATGACATAATTACTTAAGTTACATATACTGTATACAGTATCTTTGATAGCACACCTTTTAAAAACACCATCTATTTAAACTTTATTTTACACACTGGCATATCAGGTTTTCTCATTTATAGTTTATATTGTGTTTTTGCTCTTCACTGAGAAAGAAAATTTTACATGCAATTTAATATAACCAAAATATACTTTTGATCGTGAAATAGAGTTATACAGCTGCCTTATTGTTTATCTTGTTCTATGAATTTTATGATTCTCTAGATATTATTTGGCCAAAAAGTTGCATGTGTTGACTATTTGTGGGTATATGGGTGTGAAAACCCGCATGCAGTCCTTCACCAACATGTGGTCTTCACAAACCTCATGTTCTTCACCAAGCTTGCTAGAAACAGAATTGCTGTGGACTGAAGATTAAAGAACAGATAAACTTCTCCCTATTCTTTTTGGGTGCCTTTTTATGATTTACTGGACCATAACAATAGTCATTCTTACCTCATAGTTTCTTTCAAAGAACCTCTATAATTTCTGCTAGATGTTCTCTTACCCTTTAACTTTACCCCAAAGTAGAGGCAGTATTTGTTTATTTATTTATTTACTTACTTTGCATAGTGTCTTTTCCTCCCACTGTGTGGCAATTTTAGTTCCAGGCCACAGAAAATGGATGAACAGAAAAGCTGTTCTCCAGATGTGCTTGGAATATAAGTTTCAAAATGAATATGGGAGTTTTCACACGTCTTCTGCTAAAAAGAGAGAGCAGGTGACTGATGGAGACTTATAAGCATCCTCTCTGTCATTCCATTCAAAGGTGGAGGGAGACCAAAGCAGAATCAATTATCTTCCCTCAAATTGTAGATAGGACAGAAGTGTGGAATTTTTCAGTTTTTCCCTGCCTTATTGCCCTTTAATAGCCTGACAGAAAAGTCATTATAGGAGCTTCCTTCAGGTGAGTCTATCCGCCACAGAGAATGACTGAGTCTGTAGGCACAGAATGAGAAACACAACTGAGGATACAACAGAAGAGGGAAGAGGTCAGCTGCTACTTCCATAAGCAGTTGATTCAGGTTGCTTTTCCCCACTCATGCTGCAGTTAGGATTAGGCCATCTAGAGAGTGGGCAGAAATTGTTTTTGGCTCCCCAATATTGTATGTCTATTCCACTAAAGTAAACCTCCCCGCCCCTCTCTCTCTCCCTCCTCCCTTCTGTTTGTGTGTATATGTGTGTGTGAGAGAGAGATTTAGGAGCAGCTGCTATCTCATTCAGTCCCCCTTCACATGGGCAGCTCCATGAAGATAGCTTTTCTTTCCATCATTACCTACTTTTCATGGACACAAGAGGAGCAGTTGGCTGGTGTCACATTCCTTAGGATCTGAATGGATGACATAGTCATGCTGCGCTTGGCACAAACTGGTGAGGCCTGGGTCAAGGACAGATGCACTGATTCAAGTCATTAGGTATTTCATATCATTTAATTGCTTTATCTAAAACATAAATGTCTCTCTTATGTTACCCTTGACCGATGGGGAGCAAAGAAGAAACAAAAATTCAAATAATGTGTTTAAGCTGAAAGAAGGATTCGATCCTCTTGAAGCATATCAACTGTTTTGAGGGAAACAGGAATTTAGACAGGCTTCTCCTATCTTTTCCCCTTTATGAATTCCAAATGTAAATGTACAAAACATTTTTCCAGAAACACTTCTTGTTTTATGGGGCAACTCAGTAAAGTGAGTCCCTTGGATTGCAAGGCAATCAAACCTGTCAGTCCTAGAGGAGACCAAGCCTGACTGCTCTTTAGAACAGGAGTCTCCAACCTTGGCAACTTTAAGCCAGGCAGACTTCAACTCCCAGAATTCCCCAGGTAGCTGGCTGGGGAATTCTGGGAGTTGAAGTCCACCTGGCTTTAAGTTGCCAAGGTTGGAGACCCCTTGCTTTAGAAGGCCAGATCCTGAAGATGAAACTCAAATACTTTGGCCACCTAATGATAAGGAAGGACTCACTGGAGAAGATCCTAATCCTGGGAAAGATTGAAGACTGAAGAAGGGGACGACAGAGAATGAGGTGGCTGGATGGAGTCACTGAAGCAGTAGGTGTGAGCTTAAATGGACTCCAGAAGATGGTAGAGGGCAGGAAAGCCTGGAGGAACGTTGTCCACAGGGTCACGATGGGTCGGAGACAACTTCACAACTAACAACAACAAACTGAAAGGCAGACTAGCACTGAAACTGAGTATGTGTTTTCCTGAAAGGTTATAAGTACTCTGCACAGTTCCTTTTGTTAGCTAAACCCTGTAGCAGACAAGTATCTGCATTCTAATTCAAACTATGAGGAAATCTCTTTCTTGACAACCCAGGGCACAGAAAAATGAGTCTGTTGCCTCAGCAAATGAGATTGTTGTGATCACTTGGTGCGGGGAGAAATAAATGCAGAGTCAAATGATTCTGAATTGCAAGCCTAGGGAGTTCTTGGAGTCGTGCCAAGAAAGAATTTAATCCAGACCACTTTGTTGCAAGAGCCATGAAAAGTGGTGGTGGTGGGAGAATTATAACATCAGTTTTAACTCAGTCACAGGTGGACCATAGTAAAGCACATTTTGTAAAAAAGTTGACTGATTCTTTTTCACATCAAAAAATAGCAGCTTTGCCTTTTAATGCAAGTGTGCAATTGCACAGTTATCAAATATATTTTTGTTAGAATTGATATTATGTTTTATCATGATGGTTCTGTTGTCTTTGGATTTATATTATGGCATATGAAATTGAAGGTAGGAATGTTTTTTCTCACTACATGAAAGTTATGTATGGAATGTCTTTTGGCAACTGAATCAAAGTTAATCCCACAAATTTATACACTTTTAAAAAAATTCAGTGAGTATTTATTAAATTTTTGAAGAAGAAATCAAGGAACTTTAATTTGCAAATACAAAGATTAACTATATTAGAAATAAACTTCAACTACCTATAATAGAGAAGGGGAAAGTAGTTCTCTGACATGAACCTGGGATTTGTGAAGAAAAAGGCTAGCTTCCAAACAATTAAAATTTCAAAAGCCATGCTGTAGTGAAATAGTGGAATAATCTATAATAACTGCATGAAATAACTTTTATATTTTTACCCCACCCTATCCCACCCCACCCTGTCCCACTAAGTAACAGCTGCACTTTTATTGCATGAGCAAGCCTTCTCTAAAATGTCTTAAGAGTTGTTGAACATTCATATTGCACCAGGGTAAAATAAAACTGTTCAGAGGCGAGCCCTGGTTCTTTTTACAATAAAATTCACTTTTAAGTAA